ATTGTCCTTATTGTCTAAGCCATTTTTAGTTCATGATTCTATTGCTGCCAGCTGAAATGTTGATCAAAAAGAGAACATATTGGGCCGGCCCGGTGGCACACTGATACAGTGCGCCGCTTGGTAGCGCGATGGCGCTCCTGCTGAGGGTTCGGATCCCACATACAAACCGGTTCCCGCTCACTGGCTGAGCGAGGTGCGGGCGCGACGCCGAGGGTTGCGATCCCGTTGCCGGTCCCGGTCCAGTACGGGCGCGACACTGAGGGTTGCGATCCATTGCCGGACACGAAAAAAGACAAAAAGGGGAAAAAAAAAAAAATTGAACTTTCAGGCCTGGTTATGTTAGTTTTGAAATGCAGCTGTTTAATTAAATATTAAGCATTAATCCTCACATCCTCAAAATAAAATATAAAAAAGAGATGTCAGTAATATCTAATCTTTTTTTTTTCCTTTTTTGTCTTTTTTACTGACTGGTAACGGGATCGCAACTCTCGGTGTTGCGCCCCCACTGCGCTCAACCAGTGAGCGGGAACCAGTCTCCACATGGGATCCAAACCCTCAGCGGGAGTGCCATCGCGCTCCCAAGCGGCGCACTGTAGCAATGCGCCACCGGGCCGGCCCTACTTTGCTTGGTTTTAAGAATGACATGTGCTTCTCTTGGCTTCTGTGTAAAGAGCAGTGGATGCCATGTGCCCAGTAAGTATAAGCTACTGCTGCTGTTATTATCGTAATTATTAAAACCCAGAAAATGTCACATATAACACACTCTGAGAAATAACATAGTTCACAGAATATATACATATAATCCTAAGAAGTTGATTTCCTTGGTAGTTCACAATAATCCTTAATCACCTTCACATTGATGCTCCTGACTGATTTTTAAATCTGTCTCCTATCCTATTCTTGAAGACATTTAATCATTATTATCTGTAATGTAATTCTTACTATATAGGAAAAGTTGTGACTCTAATGATCCATGAAAACTTCATCCTTATCCTAAAAAGAAAATCATTATTTCTAAAATACCACTATGTTTGAATTTTCCCTTAATGAGGAATGTAAATGTTTCTTACCTCAGGTGCCCCTGCTATTTTTAGTTGTAGCATTCCTTTTCTGTCCTTGTCTTCACTGTTTGAATACTGAATGGTCTGCACTTGATTGAAGTCGGCCAGATGTGTGGGCTTTGGAAAGGAAAGGTGAGATGTTTAGACCACAGATAAAAGCCTTCACTGATTCTCACTGTTTTGTGAAATTCTGATGGTCCCAACCCCCATCCCATTCTCCTGAATATATCTTCCCTAAGTCTGGAGGTGTTTGGGGGGGGAAACAGATTCTCCGGGTAGCACCCAGTGGAGCAGTCACATAACCGTCTCCTGCACTTCAAGTTTACGGACGTGTCTGTTCTTTGTGATGTCCGAGGAGACCCATACAGTTGGATGGGTGAAAGTATAGTCACGACACAGGGAGAAAACAGAAGACAGAGGAAGGAAGTGGAAGGAATCCTTGGCTTGACTCACTAGCCGGCCTGGGAGGATCCTTATGGAATTCTTGCTGGAGTGCGTGCCCATTCCCATAGAAAGAGGAGTCTGGGCTCACTCTCAATCACCCTGGGCTAGAATAAGTTTCTGAAACTTACTGAAGTTCTCTTCTACAGTACAATGGAGCTAGGGAGATAGTATGTATCTAAAGGACCCCTTCCACAGACTGAACTCTTAGGATGTGCCAAGAGAGATTTTGGTCATTGTTAAAATACAATAAACTCTGGGCCGGCCCGGTGGCGCACTGGAGAGTGCGCCGCTTGGGAAGTGTAGCGGTGCTCCCGCCGAGGGTTTGGATCCCATGTGGAGACTGGTTCCCGCTCACTGGCTGAGCGCGGTGCGGGCGCGACACCAAGGGTTGCGATCCCGTCGCCGGTCAGTAAAAAAGACAAAAAGGAAAAAAAAAATACAATAAACTCTTTTTCTTAAAAAGAAAAAAGTATACACGTCTTTTATCCTTCTAGTAAAAAAGACAAAAAGGATAAAAAAATACAATAAACTCTTTTTCTTAAAAAGAAAAAAGTATACACGTCTTTTATCCTTCTAGCATTTCATGATCGTGATCACTCTGCATGTGATGATTCCTACATATTTCTTTAAAACCATCACAAGGTATCAGCCCCTCCCCACCCCAAAGAGGACAGATGATGCCACTAGCACTGAGCTTGAGCTGTCGTTCAGAGAGACTCATGCTTAGATGCCCTTCCCAGTGAAGCATTTTCCCGCTTTGTTTTCAGGGATGCCTGTGTTCCATGGGCCTCCTGACTTCCCCAGGGAGGCCAGGGGCAGCCATCTGTTCTCCTAGGCCTCCACTGCACACTTTCCTCTCTTGGCTGCTGGGACATGCAGCCCTCTTGGGGTTTCTTCCAACTTCACTGGTCCTTCTTTCATGGTTCCTTTTATTGGCTTCTCCCCTACTCAATCTATAAAAGTGAAAATTCTATAGGTCTCTGCTGGGTGGGCCCTGTTCATCCACCTAGTAGTGCCATGGCACGGGGAATACCATCTAGTCTTATGGCATTAAAAACCATCTCCAGCCCTGACATCTCCCTGAAACTTACCCAATTCCCTATATGACATCTCCGCATGGATGTCTGGGAGAGATTACAAACTAACACAATCAAAAGGGTAATCCTTCAAAATATGTTCCTCCTCCAGGTTTTCCCACTTCAGTAAAAAGCATCATATTTGATCAGATTCCTGAGCCGAAATGAAGGAAGACAACACTAATTCCTCTCTCTCCCTTACCTCTATATCCAACCTCTCTCAGCAATTCCTGGCAACCCCAGCTCCAAACACATCTGGACTCCATGTGTTTTCTTTCCACCTTCCCAGCTATCACTGTAGTCCAGGCCAACATTATCATATTGTGCTTAGAATCCTACAATTGTTTCCTAACTGGTTTCCCTTCATCCATACCTGTCCCCAACAATATACTGCCCTTACCTGGAAGTGAAGGAGATACTTTAAAAATGTAAATCAGATCATATGATTGCCTTACTTAAAAAGGTACAATGCAAGCCCATACCCTACATGATTTACATGATCAAACATGCTCCATGTTCTGAGCCTTACCTGCTTCTCTCACCTAACCTCCTACCATGATCTCATGTACATGAGATGTGCTGTAGGTCTCACTGGGGTAGAACCATTCCGGGGGTTGGTTGTTTTTAGTTGACCAAAAGATGAGGGATATGAAAGAGGACCAAGGCTGCTAGATGCCACATAACGTGTGGGGAATTCCCTCACTATGAAAAATTGTCCTGTGTCCCAAATGGCTTTCGAATGTCCCGGTATGGATGTCGGTGAAAAATCTGATTCTAGAATCAAAGTCCCTTAAAAACACAAAGTATGCTCTGCACTCAATTTTCCAGGAATGCCACTTACGTGTAATGCAAGAGAACGATATACTGTGCTGTCTTTGGAACTTTACTAAGAGTTGCTCAACATGTTGAAAAATGATGTCACTAAGGGCAAGACATGCTGTGGTATTCTGGTCACTGACACAAGGTACCTGTGTCAGTTTGCATTTGTAGCTACTCTATGCACATATGTAACAGGATATCTGAGGCTTCTTCTAATAGACTAAGAGTCAAATACAAGTATTATTAGTTGGTGGCAACACATGAAATGAGGAGTATCTCAGTTAGTTTCAATTACTGCTATCTCACAATCTTAAAAAAATTTCCAAAGCATAATAATTTAGGTTCAGAAAATTAAGTATGGAAATTAGTTTTTATTCCTTTTTTAAAAAATCCTATTGTTTTTCTACCTCACTCTGATATTATCCCCTGACAAAGTCGGACACATAACTTTCTTTCCCTTTCACTTTCCTACACTACTTGTATGAAATGACTTCTGGTTGTCCTCTCAAATTGAAAATCATTACTAAGTACATGCATCTGATTGTAATGCTCTCCAATGTACTGTGCTGAGCATTTAGATATTGAAAGAGATTTTTTGAAATTATATGTGTAGGTGGATAACATATTCTATAATTTTAAGGATAGCAAAAGGATATTTAAAAATATCTATTATAAGGAAGATAGGATTGAAAAGAGCTAACGCTGCCCACTTACTCTAAATTGGACACCCAGAAGACACTCGCTCTCACATCACCCTACTGTAGCCCTTTATCGAAATCAGATTATTTCCATTGCTTACCTTCTTTCTTACATTCTATCTCACACCAGAATGAAAGCCCCTTGAGGGTGACAATACTATGTCCATTTTGTCATAAGGAAGCAGGGCCACAGATCTGGCACACAAGTGAGTGCGTGAATAAACTTTGAGAACTTGTTAGGTGCTGGGTTCTGTTGCAAGTGTCAGGACACAGCAGTGGACAAGGACCACATAAATTCAGACATTAAACAAGTAATCACACAAGTAACACTCAGTTACGACTGTGACAGGACTATGACAAAGTAATATAGGGTGTCTGTAAAAAATCTAATTTATTGGGAAGGAGGGGACATGAAATAAGGCCACAGAAAAAGTTTCACTGAGAAAAAGAGAGTAAGACTTGGTAACATGAAGTGAAGACCATGTACATTATATTTAGGACCCAGCCAACGGCCTAGAACAAAGCAGCTACACAAAATACAAGGGTATTTCAAAAAGTTCATGGAAAGACTCCTATTATCTTTTAATTCTATTTTTCCAAGAACTTTTTAAAGTACCCTTGCATGTATGCAAACTGACTACAGTAACACTTACGGCCTAGAACAAAGCAGCTACACAAAATACAAGGGTATTTCAAAAAGTTCATGGAAAGACTCCTATTATCTTTTAATTCAATTTTTCCAAGAACTTTTTAAAGTACCCTTGCATGTATGCAAACTGACTACAGTAACACTTAAGATAAGGTGCATGAGCAGTCATTATCCAGGCAAACAGAGAGGGAAAGGAAACATGAAGAGGAGAATCTAGAGCTGCATTGTCCAGTATGGTAGTGGGATGCCACATGTGTTATTGAGCACCTTGTGGTACACAGTTTGTCCAAACTGAGATATGCTGCAAGTGTAAAACGCATGCCAGATTTCAAAGGCTTGGAATGATAAAAAGATTTCAAAGACTTGGAATGATAAAAAGAAGATAAAATTTCAATAATTTTTACATCAATTACATGTTGAAATAGTGATATTTTGGATATACCTGGTTAAACAAAATACACTATAAAAATTAATTTCACTTGTCTTTCTACCTTCTTAAATGTGGTTACTAGAAAATTTAAAATTACCTACAAGGCTTGCATCATACTGCTATTGAACAGGCTATAGAGATGAAGTTGATAAGGACTCAGAAGCACCCAGTGGCTTAGCCGCACAAGGGTATTGCTACTCTGACAAGGCACTGGGTGGGCTGGTGGTGTGATGGTGACAGGCAGGCCAAGCCTGGCTGGAGGAAGTTGAGGAGAGAATAGGAAGAATCATGCACAGTAAAATTAGTCAGCCTGTCAAGAAGCTCAAGTAATAAAAGAAAGAGAGACATGAGTCACCTGGAAGGAAAGGGATAGGAATGCAGGGTTAAGAGAGGATACTTCTAGGATGGGAGAAATTATACTCTTCTAGGTTGACATGAATTACCCAGGATATTAGAAATGTTGGCTGATTCAGGAAGGAAAGGGTAGAGTTGCAGAACTACCGTGAGCGGGTGAGATAGGGCAGTAGCCATCACACAAGCAGAGGGGCTGGTCTTCTCCAGGAACATGAAGTTCACCTGCAGAAGGCAGAACACAGGGGCACGAGGCAGCAGGACGGTGGGGCAGCCAGAAATCGAGGAGAGGGGCAGATATTATGGGAACTTTTGGAGACTCCATCCTGATTGTTCCTATCCTACTTTTCTTCTACTTTATACAACTAACAACTGTTACAGGCATAGAGATTCTTATAACCTTAAATACAAAATATTTTTTTCATGAAAACCTCACAAAAATCAACTACATTTTTGGCCACAAAGAAGACCTTAACAAATTCAAAATAGTTAACATTTAAAAACTCATATTATCTGCTCACAAGCCAATTGAAATTGGTACATAATATTCTTATAAGAATAATAAAAATAAGACAAAAACCCCTAGAACTACTTGAAAATTAAGTAACATTCTCCTAAATAATGCTATAATGAAAGAGAAATAAAAATGA